CATAGAGGTGGCTTATGCTCTTGGGAAGTATGCTCATTCCAAGATACAATGGTGGGACAATTTAAGGAACTTAATTTGAAATGTTTTACATAGAAACTAGTGCTAAGCGTACCGTGTTAAACTTGGTGTTGGTAATTTATTGTCCAGGGCTCTGTTATTTTAGAACCTAGTAGGGTCGCTAACAGTGTAACAGGCCCTACATTCAAATATTGCTCCGTGATGGCAAATTTTACCTGTCTGCAGCCGAGGACAGCTCCACCTAATTTACCAAAGCTGGACCTTCAGTTCAATCCTCTTGCTTAGCTTTTCTTGATTGTCTTACATTTCCGTGAAAACGCTCCAAGGAACTGACCGGTTTTCACCACTTTCTCTGCTGGTTACAACTTTCAGGGAGCATTTCTTCTGTGACTGCACAGCGGCATCCCAAAGGGACAAGTGTGGCAAGAAAGCCTTCTGTGCTGCTGTTCCAAAGGTCAACTTAAACACTTTTTTTCACATTGGGTACAAAAGGTCATCTGACTCCTTATGATAAAATTTTAAACTGTGTGCCTTTCAACATTTGCTTTCTTATCTACACTGGATGTGGAAATCTGCATGTTTTATTATTTTATATGACTATTTTTTAAGTAAAAGGTTTATATGAACTTGGGTGCAGTCCCTTTGTGTCCTCTCTGACCTGCCGTCTCTAAAAAAGTGAATATCTGTTATGAAAAGGAGTGCAACTTTCAGGTCTACTGTAGGCCTCGCCTTACAATTCCTGCTGTGTTTGGGACTGTCAGTTCTCAGACTTATTTAGTGAGGAATTCTAGCTAAATGAAAGATAGGAACCTAAAAAATTTAGCCACCGCTGAGCCCAGAGTTCCATGGAATCCAGTTAGGCAACCTGCACCTTAGACGGCCGAGAGAGGCTCCAGGAGCCTCCCCACGTTTGCCCACACAGCTCATGTTGCATGCAGACTGTCACCTCAGAAGAGTCCCTATAAAAAAACACACAAACAGAATGGGAATTGGAGGTTTCTCTATAGACTTGCAAATACTTCTAGCAACTGTGGAAAAGATTCAACTACACAGATTTACCTCCTTTCTCCAGCTCGCTGCGTAACCTTGAAGAAAACCCCTAATTCCCCTGTGTGCCTCATTTTTTTCATTTGTTAGATCCTTTAGCCACTCCTCCTCAGTCACTCCAAATGACAAATGCTGGGTAGGGACTTAACAGGGCAATGTTTTCTTCACCCCTGGAAGTTGGGAGATGAGGTCTTTGGCTGCTCCCTGAGATCCCTGTGATGCCAAAGCAGATCTTGGGGGGCTGGGGGATGGAGGCAGAGCACTTTGTGAGGGGAGACAAGGGCCTCTGGGGAGGGAGGGTCCAAAGCCCCAGGTCTGTGGCCTCTGACTCGAGAAATGTGTTGTGAGAGGACTTGGTGGCCCTAAACAGGGAAGGTAAATGAGATTTAAAAATATATGACTATTGTATTAGTCCATTTTGTGTTGCTGTAACAGAATACCTGAGACTGGGTGATTTATTAAAAAAATGAAATTTATTGCTTACAGTTTCTGAAGCTGGGAAGTCCAAAGTCCATCTGGTGGTGGCAACAGTGACCCAGGGATCTCACGTTGCAAGATGGTGGAAGCAGAGAGAGCAGCAGAGATTGAAAGATTCTCCTCTTCTCTTAAAACCCTCAGAACCACACCCCTGACTGACCACCATTATTAATCCATTTACTACTGCACAGTCCTACAATCCAATCACCTCTTCAGGGCTCCACCTTTCAATGACCATAATAGGATTTCCCACCCTCTCAACAGTCATAGCGGGGGCTAAGTTTCTAATACATAAAACTTGGGGGACACAATTCAAGTTGGGGGAACTTAATTCAATCTACATTCCACCCCTGGACCACCAAAACTCATGTCCTTTTCACATACAAATATATTTATTTCATCCCCAAAGTCTAAACTTGTTTCAACTCAGAAGTCCAAAGTTCAAAGTCCCATCTGTGAAATCAATACAAGTTATCTACTTCAGAGATACAATGGTGGGACAAACATAAGGTCCATATTCCCATTCCGAAAGGGAGAAATAGGCCAAAAGAAAGAGGTAACAGGTCCCAAACAAGTCCGAAACCCAGCAGGGCAGGCATTAAATCTCATAGCTGGTGAATCAGGTACCTTGACTCCGTATTCGACCTCTTCTCCACTCCTCTGGTGTGGGGGTTGGGTCCCAAGTCCTCAGGCAGCTCTGCTCCTATGGCTTTCCTGGTCTCAGGTGATGCTTTAGCTCTCACAGTCTGGCGCTGCACACTAGTAGCTCCACAGGTCTGGGGTCTCTATGACAGTCCTGCTCTCACGGCTCCACTAGACATGACACCGAAGGGGTTTCTCTGCTGCAACTCCAACCCCACGTTTCCACTCAGCATTGCTCTAGTGAAGGCTGTCTGCGGTGACTCTGCCCCTGTAACAGATCTCTTCCTAGGCCCCCAGACTTTTCCATACATCCTCTGAAATGAGAATGGAGGCTCCCAAGCTTAGCATTCTGCAAGCCTGCAGACCTAACACCATGTGGATGCCATCAAGGCTTCCAGCTTGTATTTTCCAAAGCTGCACGTCCAGCCACACTCGAGGCAAATTTACCCACAGCTGGAGCAGCCAAAGCAGCTGGGGTGCTGGTGCTGGAAGCAGCTTCCCAAGGTGGTCCTAAGCAGTGAGCCCATGGAGGGCTCCTTAAGCCTGTTCCTCAAGACCATTCTGTCTCCCTAGGTCTTTGGGCCTGAAATGGAAGAGATGGCCCCAGAGCCTTCTGCAATATCTTCAGGGGCTTTTTCTCCTTCTCTTGATATTCCCTTTCCTTTGTACTAATCTTCTTATCTAATGGCCACTGGCCTGCACCATTGCATGCTCTCTGCTTCTCCACCACATGGCCAGGCTGCAAATTTTCTAAATTGTTACACTCAGCTTCCCTTTTAAATTTTGGCTTTATGTCAGGCCTTTGCCACCAGAACTCAGCATAGGCTGTTAGAAGTAATCATGCAGCTTCCTTAATGCTTTGCTGCTTGGAAATTTCTTCTGCCAAACATTCTGGTTCACAACTCTTAAGTCCCACCTTCCAGAAGTCCATGGACACAATGTAGCCAAGTTCCTTGCTATGGTGTAGCAAGGGTGATCTTTTATCTCATGCCCAATAAGTTCCTCGTTTCTATCCAAGACCTCATCAGCAGCATGGCCTTTACTGTCCACATTTCCATCAACATTCTTGTCACAATGATTTAACCATTTAACTCTAAAATGTTCCAAACATTCTCTCATCTTTTTGTCTTCTTCTAAGTCCTCCAGACGCCTCCAATCTTTGCTTATTACCCAGTTCCAAAGGTGCTCCCACATTTTCAGGTATTTGTATAGCAACACCCCACTCCTGGGTACCAATTTTCTGTATTAGTCCGTTTTGTGTTGCTATAACAGAATACCTGAGACTGGGTGATTTATAAAGAAAATGAAATTTATTGCTTACAGTTTCTGAGGCTGGGAAGTCCAAAGTCCATCTGGCGGTGGCAACAGTGACCCAGGGGTCTCACATTGCAAGATGGTGGAAGCAGAGAGAGCAGCAGAGAGAGAGACAGACTCTCCTCTTCTCTTAAAGCCCTCAGAACCACGCCCCTGATCTCCCTTTTTAATCCATTCCCTACTGCACAGTCCTTCAACCCAATCACCCCTTTAGGGTTCCACCTTTCGATTACCATAATAGGATTTCCCACCCTCTCAGCAGTCACAGTGGGCGCTAACTTTCTAACAAATAAAACTTGGGTGACACAATTCAAGTTCCAGTGAGTTTTGTGGGGACATAATTCAATCCACTACATCTATAGATGTATGGATGGATGGGTGGATAGACAGATGGATGTATAACCCTAAGGAAAGAGCAGGGGATTGCAGCAAGGCCTTGGGCCAGGGCTTAATACTTAGACACGAGTACTGGTGATGGGGTGGCTGGTTTGGGCCCAGAGTCTGGCTGGTAAAGGAAACCTGACATATGACCCTTGGCTATCAGGAGGGAGCAAGGACACTCTTCTGGGCAGCACCTCAGAGGTCAGGTGCTAGGGCTGTAATGGGGGGCTATTCTGGGATCGGGCGGGGTTGGGGATGGAAGTCTAATCAGGTGCTTACGAAGGGGCCCCGGATCTCTGTGCTGCAGCTTAACTTCCTGAATGTTCCCAGAGAACAAATATTGGCAGCCAGGCCAGCCCACATGACCCAATATTGTCTTAAAAAACAAAAAATGTAGCAGAGCCAGTGTTTCTTTTCTAGGAATTACACGTGCCCAACCTCAAAATGAAGTTGCTCTTGAAGGTCAGATACCAAGCATTGACCCACATAGACTGCAGCTCGGGGCCTTGCTCCTCAAAGCGTGGACCAGCAGCATTTGTCAGAAATGCAGAATCTCACAGGGCCAGGACTAGGGTGGTGCAATCAAGGCGCCCAGGGTACAATGTTTAGGGAGGTTGGGGTGGCTCTAAGCACCACTTCACTTCACCCTAGTCCCAGTCTGAGGTCCACCCAGAACTTCTGAA